AAACAATGGTACTTGAGTTCATTTAAATAAGAATTTCTACAAGATTAAATAAAAAATTAAACAAATTGAATTTAATTATTTAAATTAACAAAACAAATACACTGTGTTTATAAAACTATCCTACCCATAGCAGAATCCAACAATTGACAAATCCTTTTACGTTTTCATAAGTATTCAAAATTGGTGAGTTCATTTTAGAAGCTACTGAAATAAGTCTTGCATGAACATCACCATGTAAATGTTCTAAAACAGGATCCATAATACATTCTTCTAGTTCACTCAACAACAATGAGTTATTGAAATTTTTACAAAAATCACAAGCAACCAATAGGAATTGGAAGTACAATAAATTTCGCAAAACAGAATTTCTGCAATGCCTGCAATACAAAGTTTTTACATCACATTTATAAACATTTGTTCAGATATATCATAGAAGCCACTATAATTATAATGAGAAACAAATAAATTGTTATGTAAAACGTTAATATCAAACCCTAAAAATCAATAATTTTTTAAAATGCCATATAAAATGCATGTGCTTTTCTTAAAAAAAAAAAAAAAGAAATTAGGATATATAACAAATATTTGTTCAAATCCAATTTTTATCTTTATTCCATTCGAAATACGTAATCCATTCCTTTTTAACCTTATGTGATCAAATTGTTGTTCTATATAAAAAAAAAATATATATAGAAAAAAGCATGATCACAAAAACGTAGCTAGTACCAAAATGACAATATTAAACATTTAGAAAAAGCTTACTGTTTTTTATACTTTTTATGGATTTCATTTTTACAAAGAAAACAAAAAGATTTATTGAATAAATATGGTTTCTTCCATTATATATGCATACATAATTAATATATGTAACTAATATTTATGCAGAGTAATCTTACCTAAATATACTAATGACTGTAGCTATTCCTTCCGCTATTTCATCTGCGTTGACTAATGGTATGGAAACATTTTTCAATAATACTATCAAGTTAATACAGATTTCTTGAAATGCATATGAAATATACTGTAAAATAAAATTCTATTAAATGATATAATAATATATAACTAATAAATAATATATAACTATAACATTATAACAAAAAAATCTATTTAGGAAAGCAGACTAATTACACTTCTAACCTCTGGACAATTCTTATATTCTCCATCCTTAAAATATCTTAAAACTGGTTTCAAAACTTTTATGCAAAATTGATCAGCTGTTAACATTTCCATTTGTGATACTGATTCATCATGGTTTTGATTTCTAACACATTCTATAATAGTAAAATTATTTTTTGATCGTTGAATTAACCTTAATATAAATGTATTTAAACAGTTTATTGCTCCAAATTTTATTGATTCTTTATCACATTCCAACACTATTAGCAAGTTCTAAAAATAATAAAAAAAATTGTTATGACAAAAAAACAATATTATGCATATACATATACATATATATATATATATATATATATATATATATATATATATATACACCTTGGATTTTTCTACTCAAAATAATTGCTTCAATAATGTTGCCTATAATTTTATAATTTCGTACCATATTTTAACTGGCTTTTAGTAATTTTAATAGCTAAATTACATTTTTCTCACTAATAATTCAATATACATTACTACTTAAGTTTATATTTGAAGTGAATTAATTTATCAAATCCTGTTCACATGTGCTCTATTCAACCTACGATCAACAAAATTATTGCAGTAAATGGAGAGGAAAAAAGCTTGTGTCGGAAATAGGCTAATCTTTATCTTAAGTTCAGAAGTGAAAACCTTAAAATGGTCATTTTCGAATTTCCTTGCTCCCAGGGGTTCAAATCGTTCCAAATAGATAAAAAACAATTCTCTGAAAGTTTTAGCTCTTAATATTAACGTTTAGATAGAGCGCAATTCAATCAAAGTTTTGTATGGAAATAGCATGAAACATTTTTCAAAAATTTTAAAAATGTTTTTTAGATGTAATTTAGCGAACAAATGAATGAAAAAAACTCATTAATTTGCCGCTAAGTTATACCTAAAACATTTTTTTTTAATTTTTAAAATTTTTTCCATGCTCTTTCTATACAAAGTTTGATTGAATTGTGCTCTGTCTAAACATTAATATTAAGAGCTAAAACTTTCAGAGCATTGTTTTTTATCAATTTGAAACCTTTATGTGTATTATATTTTGGATATGTAGTTGATCTTTTTACCCGCAGTCCATTAAGCCCCATTCTACTTAACCCTTACTCACATGCACACTTTGAACCAAGAGATAGAGTTATCCCCTCAGATGTAGCTTAATTTAGAGATACATAGTTCTGTCTTTATATATGCTTGTGTATGTGTGTATATATATTATTGCACCAATACTATTTTAAAGTAGAGGGCAGAAAATATGTAACCAGCCATTGCACTAAATAGGGCAACTAATTGCAGTTCTCTATAAAAGTTGTAAGAAGATATTATCTTTGTAAAAAAAAATGCCCTTGAAATATGGATTTCAAATAGAAGTTGTATCTATCTTGTTTGTAATAATTGTATTTCAAGAAACATTAAATCCGATTACGGTAAATTAAAAAGAAACACTTACCAAAGCAAGATTAATGATTATAATAAGAGTTGATTAGGATTTTTGTTTATTATGTTTAACAATATATATTTAAATGATTTTTAATTTTGTTGTTCAATCTAATAATTAAAATTCATCATATTCATTAAATAATGCAGCTGTAATTCCATAAAGCTCATTAAAATTAAAAATAAAAATAAAATAGGCAACTTTTTTGACCCCTGGCTGTCCTTTTTTACACAGCCTATGGGGTCAGAAGGACCATACAATAAATTTTAGAAAATTATCAAATTTTAAATACATTTGAACAATGATGAATTAGCTGGAAATTTTACTGAACATAGTTCGATATTTGTTTATTTGATATGCGTCATTTGTAGTGATGTATAGTTGGTGTAGTTTTCACAGAATAATTACTAAAAGTCATATTGGACCTTTGTGTTTGCCCTGCCCTATATTTAACTAATAATTTAATATGTAATTTTAATTAATAATAAATTACTTCTAAAATGGTTGGACAATGCAGAAATACTTCAGGCGGATAGTTCAACATCAAGTCATAAATAAACCTCGTGCATCCCTGGGCAACATATCCATTTTGTATCAGTTTAGCCACTTCTTCAATTTTGTACACATCTTTCAAATCAATTTGATATTGTGGAATAGTAGAAAATTCACTGTGTAAATAAAACAATAAACATATTAGCAAGTACAGTAAAGTAAACTCGCAATGTTAGCATTTTAGTAACTGACATTGAAAATTTCTGTAATTAGAATCATGACTAGTTGAAAGAAGTACTTGACAATTGTATGTATTTATATTTTAATTTAATTGCAAATATGCATAATTTCCAGAATTATTTTAAAACCTTTTAAATAAGTCAAATTAAAATAATATTTAAACTATTATGTTTAAGTTCATAGAAATTTATATGACTAT